TTGGTTGGTGAGAAGGCCAACACAATGGTGTCATTGATATTCTTTACCCTTAATTTAAGTACTAGAGTCTTCTACTTTTTGAGTTTATATTTCACGAAGATGTTAGTTGGAAGAATTTTATTTTATTTAATATCTAACAATATCATAAAATTATATACATTAATTTTGAAAAAAATCTAAAATATTTTGTGTACATTAGTTCTCTATTGTACTGTCGAGAAAGATGAGGGAGAGCTTTTAGAATTTTAGTATTTTAATTTTGTATTCCTTGTGTTTATATTATTATTTTATTTTTGATTTTGATGATAGGTGATATATATTAATATTCTGCAATTTATAAAGTTTAGAATATTGATGAATTAAAATAGAAGAAGATGAAAAGGCAAATGTGATAATAAGAAATAATATACTAGAAAGATACCCACGTGTTTCTTAAATGAGATTTTTAAACCGATTATTTTGATCTAAAGACTAGCAAGTGTTCTTATCATTCTCATATAAAAGATGTATTCTCGCTTGATATGTCATATATATATATATATATATATATATATATATATATATATATATATATATATATATATATATATATATATATATATATATATATATATATATATATATATATATATATATATATATATATATATATATATATATATATATATATATATATATGAGCATATCAAGTATGGGGATTTTTATAATGAGAGGAATAAATATAAAACCATAAGAGATGGCTTTCCAACATTTTCCTATAGTGTTTGGAACACTCCCTTTTTTATTAGTATTACTGATAATATTCTTTTGGTTCTCATTCGTAAGACTGATCAGCAAGAGTTTCTCATTCAATTTCGTAATATTTAATATTTCAATGAAATTCATAAACTTGTAACTAAAATATTAGTGAGCTGTATGAAACCTTTGTTGAATAATATCATCTTGATTATAGGTGTGCAAGACCCAACTCGGTCTTGAAACCCGTCATGACCCGAATACAATGGGTTAGGTTTGACCCAATCCTGAGAAAAAACATGTGCAAAATCAGTTGAAAAGACATATGCTTTGTTACATACAACCCACATAACTCGTCCTTTGAATATTCTTAATCTCGTTACATCAATGAAACTTGATCCCTTTAAGGATTATTCATCATAATATTATTATTGTTGAGGAAATGGTTCATGCGATGAGAAGAATGAAAGACTATAATGTATTTATGCGGATAAAGATTAATTAGAGAAAAAATATGATAAATTTAATTGGAAGTATGTCACTTAATGTATTAAGTATTATAAGTTTCTTAAAGAATTAATTATTATAATTTATCATTGTATTTCCTTTATCTTTCAAAATTATTTGGAATGGGGACAAACTTGATATATTTTTCCTATTTAGAGGCATCCTTCAAGGTTGTCCCCTTTATCCTTGTCGTTTTGTCATTTGTATGGATTATTTGTTGCATATTAATGTTGATCATGTTAATGTCGGGACATGAGGACCTCAAGTATCTCACCTCCTTTTAGTTGACGAATTTCTTCTTATTGCAGAGACAACTATATAACAAGCTTATTATATCAAGCATTGTTTAGATCATTTTTTAAGCATCAGACCAAGAGATTTATTATGAGAAAACTCAAACTTATTTCTCTGATAATAAAGATCCTCAACTTTGTCAAGACATTGTGCATCATACATTATTTTGAGAAATCCCGACTTAGAAAACCGTTTGTCGCAAACAATACCCATGCTAGAAGCTCTAGAAGCATATTTTGTTATATTACTGAGCAAGTTCAAAGGTGTCTAAATGGTTGTAAGCACCATTGTTTATGCTTGACCAGAGGAATAACTTTAAGCCAACCAATGTTAATTTTTGTCTCTAACTTTCATATGCACTAAACAAAAATGCATACAATTACTATAATAATTTGGAAAGGGTACACTTAGGCTTTATATGGGGAGACACTTAAACAACTTGCAATGTTCTTCTGATCATTTGGGAGGTTTGTTGTATTCTTAAGGAGCATGGTGGATTATACATCAAACATCTCAGTGAATGAATGTTGCTTTTATTTATTTATTTTTATAGAATTTATGGGCTAATACTAGATTTATAGTGTTGGTTTCTCATTAATAAATATGTCAAAAATCAAAATATTGCGAGAATATTATTTGTAATACAACTCACTCCATGTTACGGAAATCGTTAACAAATAATTGAGACAAAATATAGAAGAATGTTATTTGGAAGCTTGGGAATGGAATTGATAAGTGTGTAATTTATCATAACCTTACTATTAGTTTCAAATACTTATTAACTCACTCGCACTCGAAGTAGCATGTAAAAACCATGATTTATGCTTATATAGAACATTATTCGTATTTTGGATATGATCGTGATTTATAGTTATTTGAGTGAAATAGGTTAAATGGATGTAAATCCAAAAGAAAAGATAAAAAACCAAGACAATAGAGCAGTGGGACAAATGCATTGAAGGTCATAGTCAAGGAAAATCGCTGGGAGAATTTCCCTCAATCAACCAAATCTAAGATATAATATTTTCATTGTGAAACAAGGAAAATTCGTTGGGCAAGTCATATTTTTCCCAACGAATTTAAGGAGGTTTAGAGGCGGTTCAAGGATTGCTTGGTGTGAAGAAAAGAGAAAAAAAACTTAATTCGCTTAGCGAGCCACATTTTGCGCAACGAATGAAGACAAATTTAGAACTCTATAAATAAAAGCCTAGACATTTGTTTAATCCATGATCATTCATTTTGTAAATTTCATGTTTTCTTAGTTTATGTTAGAGATACCACTGAAATAAAGTTGAGAGGTTTTTCATGCTGAAGGCTTATCGAAATGGTTCAGTCAAAGATTGAGAGATCATCTAACTTTAGTCTATTTATACTTCTTTTGTATTGCTACCATTAATTGTTAAATTCTCTTTAATAAGGTTATGTTCACATTATATTATGATTTATATTATTTTATGTGATCATGGAATTATGATAGTTTAAGTTGATCATTTATATTTGATATTTACATTTTTCTCTAATGCTTATAAAATATGTATCATGTATGTGATTCTATCTGATGCTAATAGGTGCTCGTAGATTTAGACCAGAGATGATGAATTTGGGCCTAAACATGAATTAATTGTTTATAACTAGATTTGTGGTTTTAGACTACTGTTGAGAAGTACTCGTTAGATTTATACTTAGGTAATCATATAGTCCAGAGATATATACATATTTGATACTCGTACATACTATTGAGAGCTAATGCTAACATATTGTGTATTAGGCTGATAGATCCTCAAATAAATAATATGATTGATAGCGCAATATTATTTCAGACATGGATAACGTTTTTGAGAAGTAAGTGATAACGCAAGTTAATATTTTTTTGGACAAAATACAAGTTAGTAGTTAAAATGTGTACAACTGATCATTGATGTGCTTGTGATTACAATAGTTCAACCTAACCCCAACATCTCCTCGCCATTTAAAAAAAAATATTTTACTTCGTCATTTTAGTTTATGAAACAATTTTAAAACAACCCTAAAACTATAGTGGTTTAAAACAATATATATTACCTATAAGTTATATTATTGCACCAGACAATATAGAGACAATACAAATATATTCACTTTATTGTGATTTTTATAGACCTCCTTATTACTATACTTCTATAAAAATATTTCAACAGACATGCAAAATCAGTTTTTGGCTTGACAATTGAATTCCATCAAAATAACTTATTTTTTCAAGCAAACCCATACTAATAGGATTTTAGATACTACCTTAACGGTTAAAGACATTGTTAATAGGGATGAGACATGAAACCTTGTTTTTCTTCAAAATTGGTTCAATATAGAGATAATAGATCACATTCCTCTTCCATTGCCGAGGATGGCCGCAAACAAGTGGAAATAAGGTGACAATTGAGATAATCACTTTTATGTTAGCAATGCACATGGATATATTTCCTCACCCTTGACTGATATTACTAATGACATTGATGAGAGTATCATTTAGAAGTGGATAACCCCCTATTGAATTTTAACATTCATTTGGATTATGGCACACGAGAATTTTGACCGACTGTAGACGCCATAAATGGAACCCAATAGTCCATATTGATTGTAACTAGTGTACATACACTGAAGATGTTTTGGTTTACATGTTGCATGATATTGTCCTTATGAAACACATGTATGACTTAAACTTGTTCCTTATAATAAAATGACTCAATTTATTCATTTTCTCGCATGGATAAGATCTCATACAATTTAAGTTAAGATTTCATATGCCTTCAAATAGGGCATTGAAGGGAAATTTTATGGTACATTGTTGGTACTTGTGAAGTGGAGGAACAAAAATATTTTGAAGAGGATTTTCAATGTACTGACAATCCATCAGAAAAAATCACACATTTGGTGAAAGAGATCGAGAATGATAACCGTGTTGAACAATGATAGACTTTTAAGATCGGGATCAAACAAGTTTATTGGAATCTTCGAGACAACAATTGGATCAAACTCAATTGTGACGATACTTACAAGATTTCTACTTCCACTGTTGGATGCAATTACTTTTTTAGGGATTATATAGGCAATTAGGTAAAGGATTGTGCGTAGAAAATTGGTCTGTGTGATGATTTCACTACTGATGTGAGTTAGAGCTAGATTGGCAACAAAAAGTTACAAATTTGGTGGTTGAAAGTGACTGCAAAGTCTTGATATATACGATTAGTTAAAAGATTATGGATGGACAAAGTTTCCACCTTTAATATTATTAGAAAAATGACTCAAATTGAATGTCACATCAAGTTCAATCATACATGGTGTAGAAAATTGTTATATCGATTGACTAAATCATTAAGATTTTACTTTAAACAATATTGAGTTTTTTATTCTTCAAATTCCCTTGACAAATAAATTGAAGACCAACTTTTTGTTTGGTATTAAGGAGGGCTTAAGCCCAAAAAGGAAAAAGACTACAAAACAACTATTCTAGTGGAATACTCTCCACTAGTATCCCTCTCCACAAGATGCACTAGCCATCTTGGGATTTCCTGATAAAAGATAGTGTCTCCCTTCAAACTCTTCCCTTCCTTAGCAAGTATGTTGACACACTTATTAGTTTCCCTAAAGTTGTGATGAAGCTCAACCACTTCAAATTTAGCCATCAAACTTCTGATTTGAAGCACCAGATTACAAGTTACCAGCTTCTTGTTGTCTCTTTGCATGACACTGTCAACAACAGTTTTGGAGTCCGTCTCAACTTCCACCTTCACGTAGCCTAGAGTATCCACTAGCTTAAGCCCAACAAAGATGCTCCAAATCTCCGCCATTAAAGAACTACAACACCCAAAAAAACTTAGAGAAACCACCTCGCCAGATTCCAAGCTCATCTATAAGAATTCCTCCGCATCCCGACAACCCGTTCCTATCATGGGCGCCATCCATATTCAACTTCACAAAGGAAACCCTCAGTGGACACCATTTGATTAACTTCTCTTATTGACTTCTATCCATAATCCTGCAATTTATCATTACTGCTTCCTTGTAATGCTGAACTCTTTCCTCAATAATCTCCCTCACATTATTAGGACGAGCATAATTAGCATCATGAAGCTCTTTGTTTCTCCACGGCCAAAGCGTATGAAGACCAACTTAGTAGATGATAATACTATAGTTGCATTCTCAAGACTTGTTAATTTTTTTTTTTATAGTTTTTTTCAACTTCATGTTGGGCCTTTAGACCCTTCTTTATGAAAAAAGAAAAAGAAAATGGAATTTCTTAATACACTCTAAGTGTTTGAAAAACACCCTATGAAAATCCAAAAATATCCTTCAAATTCTAAAAAATATATTTTTAGACATATCCAAAATACACCAAATACATGCGTAAATGATCACACCTTAAAAAAATTAGTTCAAAAATGTATTTCTTAAAATACATTTCCAAAATATTTGTTTTCATTACTCTAACTTATTTGTCGATGCTCTAACAAAGCATCAAAGCAACATATCTTTCTTTTTAGTTGTTGTGGTGGTTAATATTTTTTCCCAACTCTTTTTTTTTCTAGCCATAAAATTTTTTTGTATCCTTTCAATTGCAACAAATCTTCAATTTTTCCCAGATCTTATTCTGTAACTTATTTTTTCTTGATATGGTATGAGTGGTATCTTAATCATAATAAAATAAAAACTTTATTTTCTCACACCATTAGAAGAGGACAATTCTTCATCTTTGTCCAATTTTCACCATGTGTCACAGTAGGATTAATGAGGTTTAGTGACTCAAGAATTTTGAGAAATGGATCCTCTGCAACGCTTCTTCTACTACCATCTCCGCTGCTTAATTTTTAGCCATTGAATTTAGTCTAACCATTTCATCTTGTCTATTTTAAAATACAAATTTTTTATCTCTCTTTTCTCCACCATTAGATCACAGCTGAATGGGTAGCATAAGAAAATAAACTGGAGAGGATCTAAATCCTGAATTTTGTGGTTTAGTCACTCCATCTACGTCACAATAATATAACAAGAGGGAGATTCAAGAATCATGTAGTTTGTGACTTTGAAAATGTATTTATGGAGATCTTCTATTGTAACATTGGAGCATGTTTAAAAGGATGAACAATTCCAATAAATCCACGTGAAAAATGTTACCATACATGACATAAATTTTAAATAAAATTCACACTAAAATATCTTAATTTAGTTTCATCAATTACATAAATTAATTAATTGTTAATTAGTTTAATAGTAATTAACGATATAGAGAAAATTACTATTCCCGCGACTAACCCAAAAAAAAACTATAAATAAATCATCATATAGAATTTTCTCATTCACTGAACTGACTCATGTTTTTCTTCTGTCAAATATCCAATTATAGAATTTTAATTAAAAGAGATAATTAAGAATATAAAAAGATAAGAACAAAAGAATATACACGCAGGATTCGCTATTTCGTTTCGAAGCAATAATAACAACAAACAAAGAAATAAACAATAAATAAACAATAAACAAGTGTTCTAATACGTTACGGAAATGACGAAATCAACCCCAACAACGTCTTAATCACGCTACTTCTTCTTCCGTTTTTTTGTTCTTATTTTTATGACTCTTTAACTTCTCCTCGCCGGAAAAACCCTTAATCGGAAAACCATTCCACGGAGGGGCTAAGTTTTCCGTTTCGCGGTGCTATAATTGTACATGTATTAAACTATTTCAATTTTCCCCTAATTCTTACTCTATTGTTTTGGAACGGTGTTCTTGATTTATTTAGGTGTTACGATTTGTGTTGAAGTAATTGACGTTTTCTTCACGGGAAATTGATGATTTGTGTTTATTTTCTGTTTTTATGATTCTATGTACTTTCAATTGCAGAGTAAACTATGGTGAGAATTTGGTGCTTGATTTTGGTCACCTGGTTGTGCATTTTTTCTTTTCAGATGGTAGAGGTAAGAGTGTAGCTTATGCATTAATGTTCTTTGAATTCATGTGTCTAATCTTTCAATTTATTGGATTTGTTTAGTTTTGTGTGTTTAATAATAATGTGGGATCATTGGGTTTGTTTAGTTTTCTGTGTTTATTGATAATGCGTATTTTGGTTGGTGGAATAGAGCTTTTATTCGAGTGTGGATAAAATAGTAGTAGTTTGTTTAAATTCTGCTACATTAGTGGCTATAGCTGATATTTGACAAATATTTTGTACCAAATAGTATAGTATATAGCATAATAATAGTGATTTGCTCAATTTCTGCTTTGATATTTGACAATGCCATATCATACAATATGTGTTTTAAGTTTTTTCGTAGAGTTGCTCCCTTGCCCATTGGACCCAAAAACCATGGGCAGTGGGCAATGAGTTTATCGGTTCATGATTCAATAGCAAAATATCTAATTTGTAATGCAGACATGTCTATTGTGGATCTTTCACATTTGCATACCAATGATACATTTTCTATCTGCAGAACTCAAGGTTAGGCATATGAGTCATCCTGCCCAGTACAATCATACACTTGCTACAATTTTAGTTGAATTTGCTTCTGCGGTGAGTTCTTTATGAATTATATATGCTCAACCTAAACAGTGATTATAGATATTATGCCTATTATTTGTACTCTTATATTAACATAGAGGATTGATCAGAAATTAATGATTGTAATGAAAATTCCAAGTTTTCACCTGGCTTTGCTTAAGTAGGTTTTAAGTCTGCCACTTCAAACCATATCTTCTTTAGTTTCCAGATAAAGGAAGTCAATGTCTTCACTTATGCTTTTGCACAAATGAGGAACATTCTCACATGCCAATCCCGATGGAGAGATTCTCTGTCCTGGCCAGCCCATAACCAAAACAAGCCAAACTATCTGTTATTGCATCTTATCTTATCTATGTAGCCTAGACTTTAGAGTTTAAGTCATTTTGCTTGCATGATGTTGTAAATATAAAGTTTCATCATATGAATTTAGTCACCGCAAGCCGTGTGGGAATTCTGTATGAATTATAAACAATACATGGACTGACTTAGGTTTGGTTATTGCAGGTATACTTGTCAGATTTGACTCAACTTTTTACTTGGACGTGTACTAGATGTGGTGACTTGACCAAGGTGCTGAGAATGTAAAAATTAATATAACCTTACTTGTTCACTCAAGCTGTGAGCAAGCTTTGAATTATTTACATTCTTGTATTCTACTAATTTGTCTTTTGTACAATGTTTGGTCTAAAGATATTTTAAATGTAAACAGGGATTTGAAATTATAGAGTTGGTTGTTGATGTGGAGCATTGTTTACAGGTTGGTGAACTATCATCACTGATCAATATTCCTGCAAACTACAGAAATAATGATTTCTCTTTATTTCCCTTCTCCACTCCTTGAATACATCTATTATATTATTGTACTCTCTGTCCTTATGTAATTATCACATCATATTCCAGGCATTTGTTGGAGTAGCCGAGGATCCGCTTGCTATCATCATTGCATTCAGAGGAACTAATGAACACAGGTGGATTTTCTTGATCACTTAAATTGTGCTATTTGGGCCCAAATTTCTATAGCCTCTACTAAAATGATATTTGGAGTTTAGTGTTATCTTTGGAGTTTTACTTATGCGTGTTAAGTTTGTTTGAACATTCACCTTCATACACATGCAATTATAAGTTGATAAATGCAGTTTATTTGATTTAATATGAATGGAATATATTTCTGGCTTAAAGGCAGTGAGCACAAGTGACCAAGTAATATGAATTATTTTCAGTTTTACTTGCATCAACCATGCATCTCTATGATCCTAAATTGACCAGCAGATTTCTTTAGCTTATGAAGTAGATGACTGTCTATAGTTCAGATCATGTTTGAGACATTGTACATCATAGATTCTTCTGTTTGAAAGGGTCAGAAACTACGTTGTCTGTATTTGAAGAAAGCATGGTTTAACAGTCATGTTTGGGATCATGTAAATTATTATTATGAAGAAAACATTTTTCCATAATACAATATTAAAAGGAAAACAGTTTAACCCTTTCAGATTTTTGGCTCACTTCTGAGATAACTTCATAATACTGAGTTGATTTGTTTGAAACTGCTTTTATGTAGTTTACAGAACTGGATCGAAGATTTATATTGGAAGCAGCATGAAATAAATTATCCAGACATGGATGATGCAATGGTATGTGACAAGAAAGCCCTGGCCTTACTTTGTGTCTGTAATATAGTCCGTTTTGAAATATTAACATCAACCTCACCAGGTACATCGTGGTTTTTATACTGCATACCATAATACAACAATACGCCCTACAGTTTTAGGGGCCGTTGAAAGAGCAAAGAAGTTTTATGGAGATATTCCAATTATAGCTACGGGGCATTCAATGGGAGGAGCAATGGCTGCATTTTGTGGACTTGATTTAGTGGTAACTTTAGTTTAATTTTCTCTGTGTTGCATACCAAGGTTTTGCTGTTCCATATGTAGTATTGTATTTGGAAAAATGATTTTTTATTATTAGTCTCTAGAAACTAATCAGAATTGTGTCAAAAATTCAAACTATAAATTAGTGTAATCATTTTGTATATATCCTTGTTTAAATTCTCATTTCAAGATATTCCTATTATATGAGGATGCATAATAACTTGTTTGATTTTACATTAATACAGGTAAATAAACAAGAAAATAAAGTTCAGGTTATGACATTTGGACAACCTCGTATTGGGAACGGTGTTTTTGCATCTCTCTACAGCCAACTAGTTCCAAATACAATCCGAGTCACACATGACCATGATATTGTTCCCCATTTGCCTCCGTACTATTACCGTTTACCACAGAAGACATACCAGCACTTCCCAAGAGAGGCAAGGCATTGCATGATGAAGTGATTAAATCTGTACAACATAATCTATGT